CTCGGCGCAGGCGCCAGGTTCGCCTCGCGCGCGCTGCTAATGCCTCGAGAACGGTATTTGATCGCAGCCTTGGGACGGTATTAGCCGCCTATTTCGAGATCAGCGAGCGAGGCTGACACTGCAGGGAAACGAGATCGAGAAGGCGTCGCCGGGCACTGCATGCCAGCTTGCGCCGCTGCATATAGGCCTCTAGAGACTTCGCAGAGAAGGTGGGACCAGAGCCGTTTATACTGAGAGAGTTTGGCCGATGGGTGGAGCTTGTTGGCCGCTAGAACAAGCGGATTTCGCGATAACACAAAATGGCGTTACTTCTTTGTCTTGTTCATTCCTGAGAAATCGCGTAGAGTTCCTATGAGTGAGAGCCACAATATGGCGGACGGAAGTAGTCATCCCCCGGTTGTCAGACTACGCTGCTTTGGTTGTCAGACTGTCAAAATCTCCTTAAGAAGGCCAAACTCTCTCAGTATAAACGGCTCTGGGTGGGACATTCCGGGCGGTTGGTCACGTGCGGTGGCTTCCGTTGTCAACGTGCGCGCTGTTAGCGAAACGCTAGAAAGAGAGAGCCATAAGCAGAAAACGCTAACGAAGCGAACTTGGAATTCGGATTTGACGACAGGCATTACACGCGTCCTGCGGCGATATCGGGTTGGAATGTGTCTCACTTTCCACGATCATATACTGGCGCCATAGTCGGATGCGAGTTAAAATTGCGACAGACCTTCAGCATGTGCTCGTTGCTTTTCGTCTGCTCGCGGACCCCGAAGTTTCACCGAACACACTAAAATATTTTACATCCTAAAGGGCATAAAAACAGCGGTCCAGACTTGCGCCCATTACTATACACCCTCTCGGCATCCTCATTTCGACCTAACACACCCTTTTGAATCGCAAAAAAAAAAAAAAAAAGATGAAACAAGCTTCGTTTTTGAGATATCTGAACAGGATGTGAAAAGGGGCGCTGCTCCCATACGAGGCACATATCTTGCGGTCGCATTATCATCGCCTTCCAAGCAACACCTCCTAGATACTGCAAGGCCCGCTCACCCTTGCACATGATGTCTCACTAAGGGTCTGATTGCGGGCGGCGCGGCTCTCCCCCTCTCAGTCTTGTTACATTCGCACGGCCTGTAGTGTTGCATTTAGTGATGTGAAGAAGGAACACGTATGGGTGGTGTTGTTCCAAGGCAGTGACCTGTCGCCAGGCAGCACCAGTACCTGGCGCACAGCACCCGATAGGTGCACCGGACGCAATTTTTAAGGCATGCTTCCTGCTTTAAGGCATATACCCTTCTTAATCGTAGAATAGGGTTCTGATTAATGGAATGTACATCTTTCATTATTGAAAAGTGTAGAAAGGTGGGTTTTGTTTTAAAAATACATAAAACATATATTCTTCTTTTTTTGTTACACATTTTTTTTTTAACTTGGAGAAATTATTTTTATCTGAAATCCTGACAACAAATCAACATACTTGTAGCCTCCGTAATTGCGGAAGCCGTCCCTTGCGAATCAGCGTCTTTCGAGTGTCGAGTGCATAGGGCGGGCAGTCAGCAGGGTCGTGATTCCAGTCTCGTGCATGCTTCATGGTTTCTGTATACTTGCTGGTTCTGTGCGTGACAGCTGCATGCGGTGCGTGTATACTTGTCTCAATTCGTCAAAAATATATTTCTAGAGTGCTGCTAAGATCGCCAAGATCCCATCGTTAGAGTGTTCTCCAGCACCCTAACGGTGTTGCAGTAACACCCTTAGTGGGTTGACCCTGTGACAAGCCAATTTACACTCTTAAGGGTGTGAACTCTTTAGTGTGTGGTTAAAAGGGTAATTTTTCGTAAATGTACCGTTAAGTTGTAGACGCTGTTTTTGACGTTTGGTTTAATTTTTTCGACGGCTATATCTTGCGTTCACAGTCGATATAGCCTTAAACACAACGCATTCTTCTAGGCCTGTCAATGTTCAGAAATGTATAGTTAATGATTCCAAACAACCGTGTCATAGAAAATCGAAATAAGCCCGAGCTTTGATGGATAGCACCTGTGTAATGGGATTTCCAGAAACTATCCTAGGACTGTCTTCATAGACAGCCCTGGCCTAAAAGCCCGGACTGTCAACGCATTTTGAAGCAACGCGAGACTGAGGAAATACGAAAGCTGACACCAAGAGAAAGAGGGAGAACGCCTCAAACGTTCACCTTCTTTCTCTTGGTGTCAACTTTCGTATTTCCTCACTCACGGGTTCCTACAAAACGTTGAGTATAAACCAGCTAACTTGCGCCCTTATGTTTTGTCTCCTTCTCATGCCGTGACTCCTTCTCATGGCGACATTCTGCTAGAGATATTTCGCTAGTGACAATTTATAAGTGGATCTTTAAGATATGTCGCCATGGCATGTTTCTTGTGAAAACGCGAATAAATTCGAATAAATCATCACGTTTCATTTGCCACGCATCAAGAAGAACGCGCACAGGTGCCTCCGGTAGCTGTCAATCATTGCACGGCCGCCAATTTGAGAAACATCCACAACGTGAGTCGCCAAAATTCTTGCCTTGGGGCTTTTTCCAAAGTCTGTTCAAATCTTTTCAGTGTGTTTGGACAGTAAATTTGCTGCGCGATGATTCGGTACACTGTACTTCAGATGCTGCGAAAAATACATAGAAGGCACTGCACTGCTTCCTGAATATCGGAATGCGGCTACCATGGCTAGGCCCTGCGGCCGTTGACATAGTGATCGCCCTATCTTCTCGTGCCTATGTTCACAGGGCAAGATGTTATAGTGCGATGTTGCCTTAAAATTGTAGATGTAACAGTGCGTAACAACGAGGGCTAAGAAAAGGGACCCAACACAGGACGAGCGCTGACTCGCAACTTAACGTTTAATAGTGAGAACACAAAACAAGAAAACATAAAAGGCACACTCAACAACGCATGCGATACCCAGACTGTCGCGTCACAATGGGGTTTCTACAATCAACGCATCACCTGGTTACGGAATTAGGGAGTTTCTCCATCCAAGAAAAGTGTTGACAGGAGGAGAGCTGTTCCGTTCCTACCTGCACAAGGTACCTTATGATTTGAAAAAAGTAGGAGGCTGGTACGGCATGCCGATTGTGTTTTCCGCCCCCCAGAGAATGAGCCAAGTTTGTTCGAGGGTCAAATCAAAGACAGAGGGGCTGGGCTACCAAAAAAAGTCGTAATAAAAAGCATACCAAACCGTTTGTGACATGTACTTCGGTTGCTTTATACAAGATACCCCTCTCTTCTTGCAAGGTCTATATTGGACAAACCGGTAGATGCTTAAAAGACAGGCTCAGGGAGCATGATTGTTCTCCGAGAGCCACGGTCGGCGGGCATCTATCGATGCACTGTGGGACTTGCAAGTGCAAACCATTCTTCGATGAGACCACAATGATAGGAAGGCACCGAGATATGGCGACGAGAGAAGTGATAGAGGCCTTCCACATTGTTAATTACGGAGCGCAATGTGTCAGTACGCCATCGGTGACGTTACCAGAAAAAAAGAACGCACTTTTTTCTTTTACTCTGAATGGCGGAACAAGTGATGAGTGATGCGTTGATAGCAGAAGCCCCGTTGTGACGAGGCAGTTTGGGTGACGTTGCGAGTCAGCGCTCGCCGTGTTGAGTGTTTGTTTTCTTAGTCCTCGTTGTTACACCTGTTTAACTTCCACCAACTAGCCTAGCTCTCTACCATGTAACTGCCTTAAAACTTCGTAAGATACATTTACAGCGAAGGCCTTATTTGGGAGCAGAAAGCTCTCGTTTACGTGCCAAAATTTAACGAAGCAACGTGGCTTCGGCAGCTCAGCCTGTCAGGCTGAAAGCGTGGGCACGCACCTCTTGCCCGAGTCCTCGCGAGCAAAGAGGTGCGGCTGTGCAACCACCCTTCCTTGCAAGAATGCTCTTATAGGAAGCATTTACTGGCGGCCATAGCTGTGTGCGCGACTGCTGAGCGCGTGCTGATGGCGAGCTTCCACAGTTCTTTTGTAACGTGCATTCCGCACCCTCAAGGTTGCCGGTCTTAGCAGCCTATTAATGAGGGCTCGTTCTGAGCATGCGCTCTTAACAGCACCCACAAATATGGCGCCCAGTGAATACTCCTTATAGACGTTTTCTGTGTACCCTCGTCCCCTGCCACCTAATTTGCATATCCGGTATGGGCGACGAAAAAATACTAAAACGTTTCAATCTGTAAGTAGTAAAAAAATTAAGGGGGAGGCAAAACGATAATGCGTGACGGTTACACTTTTATCCTACTTCTACTGGCGTGGCGGCGGCAAAACATTGTCTTAGCCCATACTGGAAGTGACGACCATTCAAGATGGCGGCGCCCTTGAAGAAAGGGTCTATACTAGCTAAAATATTTTTCACATTCATAAAGTCGAGCGCACACTGCTAATACAGCATACAAAAGAAAGTCCGCAAACACTGTCTGAGGTGACTTCCTTCTTTGTATGACGGGCCTGCGCCGTAAGACGTACAAAAATTTTCTGCATGCATGCATTTGTGCAAGCATGCATGCAGAAAAGCATGCATGCAGAAAAGAAAAGCATGCATTTATGAAGCAAGCATACTTTAAACATGGATGAGGTTGTTTTTAGATAATGCCATCATGTCTGGAGATAACACCTTGTATTTCGCATGATGTATAAGGCAGTGTGACTGGTGCTTTAGTTCTTGGAAGATAACGTAAGGTGCTTGCTTCCATGGATTCGCGAACGTCATCTCGCAAAAGCGCATAGCGCGCAAAGCAGACACGGTCGTCGTCCAACACGAGCAGCTGTTTTCATACTCCTTTGCTCGAACACAGAACGAATCGTCAGTTGACGATGGCCGAACAGCCGTCACAGCTGATCGAGCCCGTCCATAGACGCCATCCGCCAACACGACGATGCTACGTCCCAAGCGGAAAAACAAACAAACAACAAACAAACAGCCCCAAAGCAACGACCTGAACAGGAGCTTCCTTCCTGCTCCCGGATCACTCACCTCTGCACGTCCCGCTGGCGGCGTCGCACGACAACCCGAAATCCTTGGCACAGGGCTCGTCGGCCGAACACGACTCTCCCGTCTGCTTGGCGCACATCAAACCACACGGCGGACACCGGCTCGTCTTGGCAGTCCTGCCGGCGGGACAGGCGCCCACGTCCGAACCACAAGCACAGGTCATCGCGGGAGGAGATCCCGTTGCGTCCCCCACACTAGAAGACAAGAGCGTCGCGTCGGCGGGCAGCGCGTCCACTCGGCAAGCCGCCAGGAGAAGCAGCAGTGTCATCAGGCAGCCAGATGACAGCATGGTCAACTCCCTCTGGGACCTCATGGCGGACAGAGACGTCGATGTCCCACTACGGTGTCAGGACGGCCAGGATGCGCGAGAACGTGGGACGGCGACTCCACGCCGCGTTGTAGGGGGAACAAGCGGTTAACTCTACCTAAGCCTCGTCCGGTTTTGTTGGGCGGCTTCGGCGGAGCATCCAACTGCCAGCTTGGCTTGCCGGTCCTTGACTAGTCATTCCTCCTCTGGAGATTCCTTCGGACGCGGCGTGGAGAGGGCGGCGCTGCCGGAGAACTGGTTTCAACTCTCCCCCACGCCTGCTTCGTTGGAAAGCCTATCTCTTCCCCGTCGCTCGCCCTCGCGCGGCAGCTACTTCCCTTGCCCGAAACTTGCGAGAACTTCGTTTGCATTCGGCCCTTTTTTTATGGGGGGGTTGCTGTCGTTTTGGAGCTTCCACTTGAAAACGGGCCCCTTTGCCTCAGTGGACCTGCGATGTAGTGCCGTGCAACGTACTTTCAGCTCGTGTCGCCGAGAGCGCTAGTAGCGAGAGAGCAGGGCCAACCAGGTAGGACGACTGTCTGGTGGAAAGGGAAATGCGCAGGGCCGACCTTTTATCTCTTGTTTTGGTCTGAATCCCCCCCCTCCCGGTTGTCTTATTCTTTTTTCTGGGTGTTTCGGAAAAGTGTAACAACCAGGTCGGTGGCTGCTCCTTCATTTTATTCTTCGTTTTTTCTTTATTGTACAAAAGAGGTTGGGGCAAAGAAACAACTGCGTGCAACAGGTTATTTTGCGAGGATTCGAGGTTACACCACACGCTTTAATGGCCGTAAAGATGCGGCGAAATGCTCACAGCTGGCCCCGGCGGCAAGAAGACACACGAGGTTGTGAAAGATTTCTCAACCACCCTCCCCTTCGCCGTCCAACAGAAATTTGTTGAATAAAACAGTTATACGATCGTAGCGGATACCACAACCACTCCGACTGTGAGTCGAGCCATGGTCAAATAAAATCGATTTTATTCCCTTTCACAGCACTCACCCCACAACACAGCTGCAGAAAACAGAGAGAAAACAAAGAACACCTCCATTCTTCACAGCAGAAATAAAAATGGAATAAATTAAAAGGCTCGTAAAACTCTCAGTGTCCGTTGAAGAGCCCGAGGTCTGGCAGGACTTGAGGAGCCGGGCAGTCTTCCTGCTGTTCCAGCGGACAAGAGGCGGACCACACCGATACCACCTAGAAGGCAAGGCCTTTCCCCAAAACGTCCCCACTAGTGGTTCCACGCAGCGCTGTAGAGTTCGCTTCAGCGTCGCCGCCAGCATCAAGTCCCTTACGCCAACGCGTCTTGCAGCGTCTCATAACGATGGCGACGCTTTCACGCGGCGATGCCAAGAAGCACGCGTCAGCCGCTCTGGTCGAGCTTCAGCGTGTTCGTAGCTCGGGGATTCATTAACGATGACGTAACGAGCAGGCCTTGTCTCCTAGGTGGCCTCGGCCACACCCCAGCGTCCAGTGACCAAGAGGCTCTGGTCACACAGACTTCCCGGACGCCGCGTGCCATGCTTGGTCCGACCAGTCCGGAATGTGACAGCCATTCTGCTGAAACTGGTCCCTCGTGATGCACTGGCTGTGCACCGCATCCGTGGCTCCGTAGATGGACGCTGCGAGTGACACCAGAATGGGGCACACTTGAAGGGTTTCCCTCCTCACAGTCAAAAGCAAAAATAGACCTTCAATGACCTTGAGGCCTGCGTCGCCTCCGACGTCTGCTACAAACGGTTCTATACAGCAAGTTCCCAGAATTCCCTTCGGCACCACGTTTAAAGCATTAAAAAAAAATCGCCTCTTGAGCGCTGCCATCTTTGTCTAATGGGCTGCGGAACGCGTTCTGGGCATGCGCAATAGCCCTCTTCTGCGAAATATCACATGCTGCGCATGCGTCCACAGCCCAGTGACACGACAGTTTTCAGTTTTTGCCTGGGCGATAAGCGGTGGAAAGCTGCACGTTTTGCAACAGGTCTATTCCTTTAATGCGGTTTTTCCAGTGACGCCCGGCCCGCGACTTGCTGTTTCAAACGCAAAAATTAACGCGCGTAAAATATTTGGTCGGTGCATTGTTGTACTGTGATGCATTCATTTCCGTAGAACTTCGTGTGGGTGACACAAGAAAGGAAAAGGGGAGGGGGGATGATATACGGGGCGCCGTGAACTCGCGTCACGTGACTTATGCACCGATTCGGGTTCCCCGCTAAATATAGCGGAAATTCTGTTGTCACGCGACCCGCTAAATTAAGCGGGGAAACTAAATTTTTGTATAGTTCACGGGACATAAATTTCCTCGCAAAATCCAGCGGGTAAAGCGAATTGGTGTATATATCACGTTACCCGATGTCACCTGACTTATACTGGAAAGAGACGTCACTCTTCTTCCGTGACCAAGTTTTCGTGACATCGACTTCCCAACTTTGCACCCTCTTCTAAGCGCGGAGAAAGGCGTAGTTCCATGCAAAAAAGAAAAGGCGTCGCGACGCGCAGAAAGGATTAAAAGGATTAGAGAAAACGTTTTCATCACCTGCATTCCATGTGTAACTACGATAAAATTCCTTTGCGAATTCGCATGTATATCGTGCTTAGTTTCATGGGTCATAATTCCTAAAGGGCATTTTACTCTCTAACGTCGTCGAACGCAAAGCGCGCCGGTGCAGAGTGACGTTCGTCGGCCACAGCCCCACGTCACGCTGCGCCGAGAAGCGTCCGAACGACGCAACGGCCGTGTCAGTCCAGCGTAGACCAGGGCGGTCCAGCGCCCCCCGACGAACTGCCTCACTTTACGCATGCTCGTCTCCGTGGCCATCGCAACGTCTCTACACTGTATTTCCGCTTCCTGCTCGGTACCAATCATTCAACCGTTCAGTGTGGATCGTCCTCGTCGTGCAGTCAAGCTTCAAAACAGCGATTCGGGGCAGTGGTTAGCGCTTCGAAAAACAAGCCGATGATAGCGGATAACGAGTGCAAGCCAGCATTTTAGTTTCTCTGAAACGTCACACAAATGCCGACAGAAAAACAAAACAAATAATCATAGTATCGCTTCCGTCAAAACAAGCCGCCTGGCAGGCTAGTCGGAGATTTGCAGGGATGGTTCGATATTCCACAGCGACCTCTTTCTGACCGATGGCCGTGTGTGTTATCATATAATAGGCTTCCACTCTGACTCGAGAAACTGACACCGAGGAGAGCGGACGACACCTAAATTACGCGATGTACGCGTTCGAAATTGCAGCGCACTTCGCAGAGCCCACAAAAACAATACAGGATTCAGACAGCTTTTCACTGAGTACCGCTACTATCATTTACAAGTTGAGACACCCCACTTGAAAATTTCTGGCCGGCTAAATAGTTCAGATGTTTCACTGGGTCCGCCTTTTCCGTATACACTCGACGATGCTTGCTGTTTCGATCGGTAACGGCTGCCGGTACCGTACGACTAGCACGATATTACATATATATAGCACGCGCATTAGGTCACACTTAATTCTAATTAACTCTACCTTTGGCGCGTCGTCGAGCTTCCAGCATTTGATGCCTCCCCCTCCTCCTCCCCTCCTCCTCCTCTTCCTCCTCACCACCACCACCGGCTACGAGTTTCGGGATTATCGCATTCACGCACACACACCCAGTCGAGCGCACGAACGTTAACTAGGCATACCGACACGGAAACACGAGAACAGCACACGACACAGGCAAGAGCGGGAGGTTGGGAAGAGTCGTGGCATTTGGTGAATTCGGGTATTCGCCCCTCTCCTCTGACATTTGATTCAACAGAGCGCCCCATCCTCGCCGCCAGAGCTACTCGAGATTCCTTTTCAGTCGATCACAGCTGCCGGGTTCAGAGCGCTCTGACATTTTCGGACCAGTCACGGGTGAAACTTCTTGACATTGGTAACGTATAAAAAAAGATTTAACAGCGACAATCGAACAAAATTTAGGCTCGCCACGTGATGAAATAACGGCTGTGGCAGACTACAAACTGTTCTACGTGTCAGCATGTTGTTATATAATGAAAAAAAAAGCAGCAATTGCGAATTGTTTTTTTGCAGAACGGAATAAACACTTGTGTTCGGAGGTAGCTGTCAATTGATCGCTTTTCGACAGTCAACGCGCTGCGATAGCGGTCATGCCAACGGCAGAACAGGCAAATATACAATGGATAATAAACCGTATTTTTCTCACGGCGGAATATCGTGCTAACATCACCCACAGGACATAGCACGTATCGCCATGTGACACAAATCACCGTGCATTAGAGTCGGCTCTCCCTTTATTTTACAACACAAACCTTCGAAAGCGCATTTACCAAACCTGAAAGTTCATTGAAGCGTCCACGAAACCCGGTAAAACAGTGGCGAGCTCTAGGAACTGTCTCTTCATCGGTTAGGCTTAGCGGGTTCACCACCGTGAGATGAACGATATCGTGAAAGCACTGATAATACTTCCCACGTCGAGTTTTCCCGTCACGGTAATAAGTGAATGTCGTCCCCGTATGTTGTAATACTCGCCTCGTCGAACGCACAAGCACTTTGTAGAACTTAGTAGAACCAGATATTCATCGCCATCATGCCGGACCCCGCAAACCACCGCAGACCACTGCCGGCCATCGTGAACATAACCACGTGATCCCCATTTACGTACCAGGTGACACCTGCGCCTCTCCACACTCCGAAGGCTAGAGACGGAGTGCTACACAGTAAAAGTGTTTACACCTTTAAGGGTGTAAATGGGGTGTTGCAGCTACTTACACCCTCGGCTACACCCTTTTATTACCCTTAAATCTAGTGATACACCCTCATCATTTTACCGAAAGGGGTGCTGTTTCGTGTCACACCCTCCATTTGGTGAAGGGTGTAAAAGGGGGTGCTAAATAATATGAAATGGTTTTCGAAAGCTTATATATGGATACCTTCACAAATGTACAGGTTAGATTTCTGCTTGAAAAGCGACGGTTGTTAGCAGTCTAGTTTTTTATAATGTCAGTTGTAATTCGTGCAAATAGCTGATAATAAAGTACCTCCTCTGCGTACAATTTTTATGTTTGCAAACAACATTTTATATATGCGTTGATATTTGATTTTCTTACAAATTACTTCATGCTCAGAAATTGGAAACCAGGGAGAAATGCTCAACACTAGCCTTTTTTACAAATATTTATTGATGGAATTGTAGCAGTAAGAAAATCAGTTAGTCTCGAGTTTATATCTTACAACGCAATATGAAATCAAAACATATAAAATATGTTCCACAAATATTCATGACACGCTGCTAGAACGTGTCACATGACCTTGTCAACCTAGGTAAAATACTCATTTGCGAATATGATAACATGCGCCAATAACTCACACACATGAAGAGGCAGAACCCATAATAAACCAGTCTGAGACATCCCATGCAAAAATGGTCTATGGTCGTCTATGGAAAATTCTATGGCGGGCTATCACCCCCTATAGCCTTGTATGGTCGGCCATAGAAATCTATAAATACAGCTACAGTCAGCTATAGAAATATCTATGGCCCTGTGTCTAAAGACTGGAAACCAATAAACGTTTTTTACCCGCCTATAGAAAATTCTATGGCCCCGAGTCTAAAAACTGGGAACCAATAAATTGTATTTACCCGCCTATAAAAAATTCTATGGAACTGAGTGTAAAGACTCAGGGCCATGTTTCAATAACACTAATAATAATAAGAAATAAGTTAGTGTTTTTAACAGTGACCATGCAAGGACATCCAATTGGTCTTCTTGCTGGCGCAGTTCAATAGAACGCACCAACACACGCTTCCACGCACGGAGACACGCGGTTAACTAATGCGGCCTGTGCAGGTGAGTTATTCAGCGAGGTGGACATAATACGGAGGCCTAATCATCACAGTAAATGAAATAGTGAACTAATATTTGCTATGTAACTTGTTCATAAGTGAAGTTAAACACATGGTTCTAATGAGAAACGCGCTCAGCTTCATCCAAAACCAATAAGCAAGTTCGGACAACCGCCGAGGAATACAGTTGCCTGGGGGCCGCCACAAAAGGCATCGGCATGCCTGACAAGGCAAGAGCCTCCCCCCCCCCCCCCTCCCCTCTCCACGGCCAGACAAAATGAAAGTCTCAGGGACGAAAACTACTTGATCATGAAAGATCCACCATAAAATCCCATAAGCAGTACAAAACACTGTATACAAAGAAAAAAACAATGAACTAAAACCAGATTGTCCCCCACGTTGGACAAACAACGACGCACATCAATTTTATGCCTACACAAACACGGCATTCAAAGTGGCCACACACAACAACATGGTGCAGCCAGTCAGCCATCTTTACAAAGATATTTCTTTAAGCCCGCAGAGAAATGCTGCACAAAAACAACACATGCGCACAAAAAAAAAAAATAATGAAAAAAGTGTTACTTTTCAAGGGACAATAGATAAACATTTATGTTTTCTATTCCAGAATAATGGTCATGAGATCAGGGTGGTCATTCAGAAGTACAGGTATTTGATAATCTAATCTTTGTACGCCATAGTTCGCGCATATTTTTTGCTTTCTGAAGCTTGTGTGCCGAAAATTGTATGGATGATCTTTCCAAAGATACGCACTGAAAAAGACAGTTGG